CAAAAGTCGCCATTTTGTTTTGAAAGAGATGCATTATTGGAAAAGCAATCAAAAGACGAGAGACTTCAACTATATATATATATGTATGTTTGGTTTTAACTAAATATATATACATTATTTTATTTTTAACCTAACCGGATCGTTTTCTGTTTTACTGTAGCCCATTATGGTTAGCCAACGTGTTTGGGTAGTTTGACTGCTAGGTACCATACCCACAACCCCTAGGCGTACGGACGTCTTCATTGACGATTCTCATCGCAGATCATAATCGAGCTTTGGCGCCAGAACTTGACCTTCCATTCTCACCCCATAATTTGTAGGTAGATACCTGCCAGGCATTTTCCTTATCTCTACTATGAACAAAAATTAACAGTATTCTTTTTCTCGGACGCTATCTGATGTCCTATCCCTCTACCCACTCTGATGACAATGATTATTTGGGCATCGGGTGCTAGACCTTGGCCCTTAGCCAATTCAATAACTGGCTGCGGTACGCTATTAATTTGTTTTAGATTTATCCCATATATTTGTCCTAGCATAATAGGCCCATTTTCTCGTACGAATTTCCTCATTTTGTAGGCCAATATCTCCGAGTATAGATCAATATCGGAGCTGAGTCGATATCGATAACGTTCGAGCGAGCTTTTAAATCCACGCGCCAAAGGCCTACATCCGAAATCGAAAAAGGCTGCGGAGTTGGCTACTTATGAAGATATCAAAATTCGATATAGATCTATATCGATATGACCGAAAATAAACAGAAGTCATGAACAAAGAAAAACGTCAAAGCAGATCTGTATCAGACAGAGCCAAGTTAAGTAGACGATGACAGAAAAGGAACAAGAAACCCAAGTGTGGTCCCTTTGCTAACAGGGAGTGTCGCAGACCCCGTGATTATCCCAAGACAAATTACGTCGTGACAAGGCAACAGGCAATTTATAAACCTTCTAGCTCCAGGCCAGGGCTCATCGGAATAGAAAGTCTCTTTCTCCCCGGAGATGGCTCGTTTTGTTTGTTTATGATTAAGTTGACAGAACGGAGCCGTTCCCATTGTCTGAAGTGGACTCCATTATTTTTTTTTTCTAAATTCCGATTGGATAATATTAGAAAATCACTATGTTTGTCCGCCTGTTACGATTCCGTTTATGCGGTGCATCGGATGTCGACGTCATAGTCCGGTTCATGCCATCTATTGCACCATCACGCTACGCCAACTCGTTCGTGGTTACCAGACGAATTAGTTCATCCCTAAAGCTCCCTATATATATTATCGTGATCAACCACCTTGCCCCTTTGTTTGTTTAACCTGCCCTTACATCATTTCTCCGGAGTAGCGCTGTCACTAGACTCCACCACAAACCTGCTGCGGGACGCCCATCGCTCCAGGCAATGACCACCGCACCACCTGTCGGACGAAAGACGAGTTATATAAATGGCCTCCTCTAAAATGAAGTAGTCTTTTTTTTCTTTTATGTTTCCAAAACCATTTCTTCTTTGATTTATGTGCATCTCTATGTTGTTGTCGAGTAAAAATTATAAAGTTACAAATAGTCCACATAAACAGGTAGAGGACGGGATGAGTCACGGGTGACATCACGCTTAACCTCGTTTATAGTTGTTCAAGGTTTTGCCTGTATTTTATTTTTTTTCTTCTTATAATTTCTGTTAGTGTTCCCTTCCTTTGACGTGTTGATGGGACGTTTTAGAAGGTATTAGTGCGTTGCGAACGTCGTCTGTTGCCAGTAATCCAGCGACAACCTAGTGATTTTCACATCAAACGGACAGATCTGTCAAAAAACCATTTCCTCCCTTGACACCAACAATTACTTCCAATATCTCCTTTACGTTATACACTATCCATTCCCTCCCTGTTTTTTTTCCTCTGATTATTTTTCTTCGGACGCAAATTTGCTAACAAATTTGTTCACCTCTTCGTTTTATTCTTCAATTCTTAGCATTTACAATAAGATTTTCCAAGTGGGGATGTCAGTTATGTTAGGGATTTGCTAATCTTTACTCTAAATTACATGAGAAATCAATAAAATTTTAAGGATTTTTAGGCAATTCCTACTTTAAATTTTTTTTAAACATAAGATCCTTAACTCGAAAATTATTAAATTCCTCTGAATTTTCTTTCATTATTAACGGAATTAATGGTAATATCACGTTTAACCTCCTTACAAAATTCAAATCTTTTATATGGAATTCGTAAATCTGAATCCTTATAAACCCTGCTTTTTAATTTATATAGGCCTATATAAATCTTATACAGAAATGTGGGAAGACAATCCAAATCCTAATTTTGCAAAATGAAGACCGTCAACGTGAATTCAATATTTCCTAGTTTTGGAATTCATAAATCTGGATCCTATAAATCTTAATTTTTTGAATATAAAAATTTAGTTATACACCCAATAGTACTTCATAAATCCTAATATTTTATTTTTATAATTTTAAATTCAACATTTCCTTATAAATTCTAGTTTTTCTGGAGGGAATTCATAAATCTGAATCCGACATTTCCTCGTAAAAATTCATAAATTCGGACTCTCTAAAATATAATTAGAGAGGAGATGATACTGTATTTTATATATACATATACATGCACTATATATTATACATTAATGAATTAAAAAAAGAGCACAAACTCGCTAGAAAGAGGGAGAACACTTTTCGGTTCCGCCTCATTTTAAACAACGGTATTGGTTTTAACAAAGCGACATTCGCCACCTACTTAAACCAAACACAACGTCACACATAGAGAGAACTTTTTTTCTTTCATTCTCTGCGACCGTGCATGGTAACGATCAAATTAGATTTGCAGTTAGTCGTCGGACGATGTGACACGTCGCACAAACAAGGGCAAGATCCATTAGCACAAAGCTGCGTGTGGCGGCGTTGGTGGTTCAACAAGATTCTGTGAACTTTCTAGCTCCTTTGATTACTTGAGGTTCAATAATTCAGTTTGCAGGTCATGACTGGCCACGTTCCTGTTGATTTTGCCTAAGGCTATACCAGACGGTAATCTCGGGAAGTAGGTGACATTGTTCAAACAGCTGTTATAAAATATTGAATTACTGTCCTTCCTCTCCCCTCTTTCTATCAAACAGACGTGGTACCAGTTTGTGTATTATTAGAGACTGTTTTTAAAATTAAACGTGTTACAAATTTTCCTGTCTTTCACTGTTCATTCATTACGCATTCTTCTCTTATTTTACATTCTAAAAACATTCCCTAATTTATGGTATGGTAGGCCTGTATCAAGTAACACAACATTAAGCATATTAAACATAAATGTGTTTTTTTTTTTTTAAAGTTAAAACTCAGTAAGACTAGTAATTTGCTGTAATTAGGGTTTTTTTTGTTTAAAATATTAAACACTTCGCACATTTTCGGGATGAAAAGTTTTAATATAAAAAGAATTTTAAATTAACTGTGTTCTAATTAACTTTAAACTTTAATTCACTAAAAGCCAAATTATCAATTTTAGTAGAAATCACAGGCGGCAACCCACAAGGGACAATGATATATACTCGAAGTATTTTTGTACCGGCAAATTGTTCCCCACAAGATATTTGTATAAAAAAATACATGTATCTGTAGGAGAGAGTACACTGTACATAACAGGTACATCTTATTTTTGTATCCAGTATAAATATATAGATCGGCACAGATGGTAGAAATATTACAATTCTTAACAAAATTTTATATAAAACAGGTTTTTCTACTTTAGATCCGCACACACGTGTCTAGTAAACTAATAACGTGTTCATTTGTGCATCACACTATCAATGTCAAAACAAACAAGAGGTTACCTTGTTTCTTCAGACGAAACCTACACTTTTCATGTATTATTTTTTTGCCATTAATGCAACAATTTAAAAAAATGAAGGATAAGACTCGATTTTAATCTGTTCAAGATGTTAAACTCTTGTTTTCATGCCCATGTTTCAGATCCTTGTTTAAAAACACGTGTATCTATAAATTACATTCAAGCAGCAGTCATAGTTTCGCATTAAGAGGAAGCGAAACTAGCAACGTTACCCGACGAAAAATAATAGGAACAACAAATATTGACCGTGTGACCTCGTGCTATTAACATAAGTTTCGGCGTTGTTACTATTCAACAAGATTAAAAAAAGGCCAGGTATAATAAAACCGCATTACCTACAAAGATACTTTTTTGGTCGTTAAAGCAGAGCTTCGATTAAGCCATCTAATATATCAAATGACGCTGGGTTATTAGCAGAAAGACTTAATAGCTGTTAACGTTCGAGTAAGATGGAAGCGTGGACGACACTTCAATCGCATTAGTTCCAAACTGGTGCTTCTGTCCGCAGCCGTTCGCCTGGAACACACGTTCAGTAAGCATATGATTCAAGATTGTTACTAACATTGACTCACCACTCTGAATAACAAATGAGTTATTTTAATTCCGTTTTCCCTCTTCCCAAGAAAACACACCTGTAGTGTTTTAACGCGCGTGAAATGTCTTTTTAAAGCTATTTTAAAAGAAATTTCCTACTAGAGAAGTTACTAGCGTGGCTTTTGCTCGACACATGCGATTGTTACGCACATAACACTATTCGTTATGTGGCTCCATCTGTTGTATCTAAATGTTAACTGTAGTGTTTTGTCAAATCTTAAAAAATTTATTAAGACAAATATTAATTTGATAACACAAAACTAGAATTTAATTGTAACTTTTACAACATTTTCTGATTTCCTATACAAATGAATTTTCCATTTTTTTTAAATTATTTCATTTTATATTGATTTGTTTAATATCAATATTACCATCAGATTAGCTCCAATATTTAATTGAAAATTAATTTTGCTAATTTTTTTTTAAATATATGTAACTTTTTTTAAGAAATGGAAAACTTCATTCTTAAAAATACATTAATATAAAGTCTTGCTAGATTTTGCTGTGTGTTTTGCCTATTATCAACATTAAAATGTGTCGAGTACATATATTTTTAAAAATAAAACAAGGTAACTATGGCATTAATTTGAGGTGTATTTTTTCTTTTATAGTCACGATGAAGATGCAACTACATCACATCTCTGGACAAGTATACATGACTGCTGTCTATACAATAATTGCAGCAAGTTTGATTTTTCTGGTTTCTTCAGCACAATTTTTACTAAACTAACTATCCAAAAATAAACATATACAGTTCTTAGGTGCCATTTAACCATTAAATTTTATTTGGCATTAATATGGTGACAGAGGCACAATGGAAAGGTGAAAATGAGCTTTTAAAATTTAAATTCTCGAGTAACTTTTGCATTAATTTTTGTGTGGAGAGCCTTTGAACTGGCTGCATTGGTTCGAATTAGAAAAAAAAATCTGGTAATAAATTGAAAAACAAACGACACCATTATGTTTTCTGGCATGGATGGTGTTTACTTCGAACAAATAAAAAAAAAAAAAAAACAAATTGTCAAATTCTTTAGTTACAGTCAAAATGTGGTGGATACAATGAATGTGCTTACATCATTTGGAATGCAATTTCATTTCATCTCTGATTATCACTGCTTTTTTGCACATGCCCCCCCTTCTTTGGCAAATGAATGTTTTCTATTGGCTCATTCTGAACAGTAAAGGACACACAAAACTTCTTTCTTCTAAACATCCCAAGATTAAATCATTAGAAAATTAAAAAAGTCACATTAAATCATAAATTATTAACAGCAGTCAAAATAAGGAACAGTGGAAGCACAAAAATTCCATAATGTGAAAGAATACAATCGTCGTTTCACTTAATTGTCTTCTCTGCCAAAACCATTCAATAAATTAGCAAAAAATTGAAGGAATGTATACCATCTTTGTGACAGAATTTGCAGCAAAAATTAAACTACAACAGACAGATTTGCTATTAGAGTACTTACAAAGGTACTCATTTAAGATTTCTATCTGTACAATGGCATATACAATAGTTAAATGCTAATTATTCTTTTGCACAAATTTAATCTAACAGTACTCAGATAGGAACCCTTGTTAAGACATACTTCGCCATCGAACAGTATCATTATATACACTTAACAATTTCAATAAATGGGATTACAATTTTCCATCAACGAAAATTGTTCGATTATTAAAATCTTCCTGAAAAAGGTTTGAATTCTAGAAAAAGGAATCTTTAAAAATTATTTTTTTTTGTATTGCATGAATAAAACTTAAGAAATCTGTTTAATCATGTTTCAACAAAAACTGATTCTCTTTTCTGATTTTCAAATGAAGTGTGATGTAACAAGGGTTCCCAAATATATGTTGACTAGGTTGATGGCCATGTAGTGGGCTGAGAAAATGGGGAAATTAGCTACCTATGAGAATTACTTCTGTTTTTCTTCACACAACATGAACATACTGTCAAAACAATATATTTTTTTTTCTTTTTAATTTAATACTCTCAATTTGGAATAGATATGCTCAAGAATAATTTCATCCATAGCCTTTATTATAATATAGTAGAGGATTTCATTCTATATCTCCAGTAGTACCCCTGACTGCACCTTGCTTTCTTTGCTAAAGATAGAGCAAAAAAGAAAAATTAGCATGATTTATTTACTTAAAATTAGATTATTGAAAAAATACCTCATCCAATTCTCGTTTGGTTTTCTCTTCTAAGTCTCTTATATCTTTCATTGTTAGTCCGTGCCAACGATCTAACCAACAATACACTTGCCGATGGAAGTTGAGAAATATACGTCTTTCCGTCTAAAAATAAACACACTGTTTATTCAGTAATCTAACTTATAAAATTAGTTATTTAATATTTTAAAATATGGTTGACAATGTCATCAGTGTTGCTACTAAATTATACAGGAATAAAATGTAATACAAGTAATATTGTTGAACTGACTTGTAATATTAAGGCCAAAATTGGTCCAAAAATCTTAACTGATTTTCAGAACTGTTGAAACTTCTGGATTAGTTGCATGTTAAATGATTCCAATAACGTAAACAACATACATCCATTCCAACATGATTTTAACAGTTCTTAAAATTTTTCACACATCAATTTGCTCAAAGCATGGCTCAAAAGTCAGTTAACATGGTAAAAAAGATTTCACCTAATGCCTACTTCTATGTAAGATAGTGACTTTCCTCTAATTTATAAAAATTTTTTGAAAAAAAATTTTTGCTCTGAGCATTAAGAGGGCCTTTTCTCTCCCATATCCATCATGAGTTTGGCCAGACCCACAATAGGGCTAGGTGATGAGGGAGTGAGTCCAACATATCCTGATGAATCATTCCCAAAAAATTCCTGGGGTTTTTGATCCATCTGGATTCAACCTCAGGTCTCCCAAAACAGTAGACTGACACCTAACCATTCATCCATCCAGCTTTCTGAAGTCAGTTTCAACAAAATTTGTGATCAGAAGATTAACTTACAAATAGAACAGCATTAAATCAAATGCTTCAAATGTTATAAACTGATTATTAGAGTTATGGCATCTATTAGAGCAAGAACAAAATAAACCTAACTAAATATGAAACTTTTAGGAGTGACCAAATATTCAAATTTGAACATTGTCAGTTGAAAATGTTTAATTCAATGCTGTTGTTTTAATCAAAATCTTTGATGGAATCTGAAAACAAAAGAAATGGGTTTAAATTTTTCTAAATATTTTAAGTAAACTTTAGGCCTCATTACTAGAAAAAAAAATTCAAATTATTTGAGTAATTTATGAAGCAAGTTTCAACAGTTAAAGAAAAAATTATTATATGAATAACAAACTATACTTTGTATCCCTGATTTCTAAAATCAATTCTTAAGGAACAGGAAATTTAAATTTTTAGTATAATTTAAAAACTAATATGAATACTATACAAGACTCAAAAAAAACAGCTCAAATTTTGAAATGGTAAGAGCAAGTACAAATTCTTTTCTTACTTAATACAGTGGGATCATTTTACTTCAAATCCTTTGGGAATTAGCTATAATTATCACTATATTAAAAATTTATTATATACATGAAGAAAAGCAAGGAATAACCATTCTTCACTGTGTCGTGAGTCCACTTAATAACTAACTTACTACCTAAATGTGGAAAAGTTTTAGAGTTAAAATGGTACTTATTAATCTTATATTTTTTAAAAAAACTTTAAATTCAAATAGGATGTTTTGACTTAAACAGCAAGGCAGAACAGAAATTTAGGCAAAAGTGAAATAAATGTTTTTTTAAACAGAGAACATGAGTATTGATAAAACATTAAAAAAAAGTTTGCAAAGAAACCTATTTTTCAAATTCATAAAAATTCATGGCAAATAAGGGCATTTTATTCATATTTAATAATTTCAGTTTTCAATTAATTACATTTAAAAAGCAATTAATAAATTTCAACTTATATAATCTTCTTGAACAAGTTTTATTTTAATTTGAGCAATTTCTTGATTGATTTGTTCTGAGAAAGAAAAGAACAGCAAAAGATGCAGAAATTTTTTGAGAACATAAATCAAAGCTATTTATGTAGACTGTATTCTGGTTCATTGTGTTACTTAACACATTTTGTTTGAAGTTTGAATTGTTAGACATTCAATCACCTGCTAGTTTAATCTAGTAAGAATATAAAAGAATATAATTTCAGAGTTCAGTTTGTACTCATATTTTAGTTTAAAAAGTCTTGTTATTTACATTGTTAATCAGCTATCAAATTTTAAGAATGTGTACATAACATGTAAAAAGATGTAACTTAACAGTTCTTTCAGTTTTTAATAGTAATAAGAAAAATGTTTATTGGGCTGCAATTTGAAGAAAATTGTAGGCCTATAAATTCCCACTGTTGTCAATCTGTCCTTAATCTTGAGAATGGAATTAGATGGATAAAAGACAAGACCAGATATGGAAACCTTAGGGGCAAAAGGCCTCAATGAACTTCTGATGCAAACCAGAAGTAAAGTTATTTCAATTAAAAAATTTTTCCCTAAAAAGGTGTTTAGATAGATGACAGGCACAACTATTGTTAAAAGAAAAATATGATGTACAGGGACAAGCCACTATTAATTTTGGATGGAGAGTTTATATTTTAATTTAAATAAATTAAAAATATGATTAAAATTGCAGCCTGGCATTATGACAATGGTCACAATAAATAATTGCTCATTTACAGTTCTTTTTTCTTTTAATTTCTGCATTATGTGCAACTAAAACAAAACATTGTTTTTGCTATAGTATTTATATGCACAAACTATATGGAAAATTATGAAAAAGTATGTTTTATTTTTCGTATTTAGTTTTTTAATAACAATTTTGTATTATGTAAAAGTTTCAGTTCAGCAGAGATTTTTCCAATATATGAGCCAGTGATTTTGAAAGTGGGGCAAGTCCATTTTATGTTATTGCTGGATATTTAATGGTTTGCATTTGAATGAGTTTAAAAATATTTTTAAGCAGTAATAGACTTATTTTATATTTTTTGGTTTTATTTTGTGTAAATTTAATATGCAATAATGGTTATCCACGTTAGGTGAAAAAAAATAATAATCAAGGTTTTGGTATGCGCCAATGGACTTGCCTCACTTTCTAAAGCAATGATTTGTTGAAAATCTTGTTTTTCTTTGAGTGGAATATAGTTATAATAAAAAACTGAATATTTTATTTTTCACTTATTTATTTCAACATTTCATACTTTTTTTGAAAAGCTACAATGAAATTTAATTTTATAAGAAAAAGTGGAGAAAATAAAATATTTAGTAATAAGTTGCATGCATATAATTATATTTCTTAGTTTAAATGGTGCAGATTTTTAAAGTATATGATATGTGAATGGGTGGTACTGTACATAGGGTAATAAATCCATCATATCTTCATATTTTTCTTTAGAGTGGACTTGCATCACTTTCAAAATCAACTGCTCATATATATATATATAGTTGTCTTGTTATAATATGGTAACTTGATTCTGAAAAATCTTTTCCAAAATTATTTTCCTTATATATATAATTTTGTATATATATAATTTATATACATACATATTCGAAATTTAGCATTTGTTCAAAATAAAGTATGGATCTTAACAGAATTTAATTATTTGTATAATAAAAAGGAAAATATTTACTTCAAATTTGTATTTGAAGTAAATATCAATAGCTTGATATTTACTTCAAATACAAATTTGAACTGTTTTGATAAATTCATTTCAAAAAAGGAAAATCACAGTATAATTTTTTCAGGCACCAAAGTGATAAACACATTATGACATGTTTAATAGTTTACAGAATTCATCTCGGTTTCATTTGGATATGAGAAGTCTCCATTACTCTCAAAACATATATTTTAAATTGGTCTAAAACAAAGAAAGTTATAATTTAAATCAAGTCTTACCTAATGAAGAAAAGATTTAAATTATGTAACTTACTTTTTAGTAAATTTCTATGATTACACTATCTATACATTTCTGTTGATCCTTTACTGTTTAAAAAATTAAAAAGGATATTTTTGACATTTTTAATTTAACAAAGTTATGACAAAATAATTCAAAATACTGAAGAAACAGTATTATTTCAAACAGTTTGAAGAATACAAGAATATGATTTTGTTTAAGACAGATTAGTTTTAAGTTGCCAAGTTTGAACAGAAATTTGGAATTTATGTTTCAAGCATATAAAAAAACAGACATTAGATGTCCTAATAACAAAGCAGCAATAAAAATATATTGATAGTATTTGATAAATTATGAATAATCTGCTATTTTGTAAGTCAAAGCAAAATCAAATGTAAAAACCTTGATTTAAAATCAATTTGTTAAATAATGCATCAGTTTCAGAAGGAAAGTAAGCCAGTTCTTGCAACTTCATTTTGAAGAAAATTAAATTTTTTGCCAAAAAATTAATTTAAAAATTAATACGGTTACAATTTATTAATGTGATGAAGACCATTTCAGAACTAAAAAAATCCTACAAACTACCTTGCTACAAACTACAAAGTAAAATAAATATCTGACAACACAAATGATTAAAGTATGTTGCAAATAAAAAAAAATAGATACTTACTTTCTGTATAAAGGATTCCACACGATTTTGTAATCCAAACCACCTGAACTCACATGTGACCAATTTATAAGCACACATGATTGGATCAGCAGTTTTCTAGAGAAAAAAAAAATGCTAGTTATAAAGGTTAGACATTTAATATATAATGAATTATTTTTTCTAATTAAAAAGGATGGAATCTGAATCACCACACCACTCAGTCAAAATATAAAATTTATAATAAGCAATTTCACACCTTATGTACTCTTTACAGCAAAAATTTTAATGGAAAACCTTTTTGGCTTCTTTAAAAAAGGGGCATCTCAGGTTTTCAAGCTGTTTTAAAATTGAATGTTGCACAGTATTTCAAACGAACATTCAAATGCTATATGATATCAATTAAAGCATCATGTTGTTTTAATGTTCCAGTTTGGAATAATTCTTGTTCATACTATGTTATTAAGACACTATAGTTGTAGGGACTTAAATCTGAATCTGATTTGTATCCCCAAATTTTGATCATTAATGGTTTTGACCTGAATAAATTGAAATTTTGTCTTTAACACTTCACAACTTCCAGTGAGAATGTATCAATTCACAAATGACTATGATAACAGGAATGAACAAACTTTTCTACTTATTTATATAAATTCTCATTAAGTAAGTTAATGAAAACCAAGCAGTCATTTTTTATGAAAATGTGCAGATCCATAGACAATTTACTTAAAAATATAAGTACAGTAGAACCTTGAAAACTCGGCTCTCGATAACCCGGCACTCCGGATAACTCGGCCACATCCTGGCAGGGCAAAAAAATCCTTAGTTAATTAATTTTCATTATATACAGCTTTATAAAAGTATAAAAGCTCTCATAAAGTATTTTTCTGAGGTCTGTCTTATCAGGTAAATTACTGTACACAGTGTATTCATTAATTTTCATTTTCATGTAGTAAAGGCTCTATGCCTTCATAAAGTACGTAGTTTTCCTTTGTTTAAGGGTATTTGGGCAATTTATTCTCTGTTATATTCTCAAGTATACAATACATACAAATACAGTACAGTATTTTCTGAGGAAACACTCATACTTATTTTTTTTAACCCCATTCCCGATAACCCGGCATTTTCACAAACTCGGCCACCCTTCGGTCCACATTAGGCCGAGTTTTCGAGGTTCTACTGCACTCTTAAAGAATTAAAATATAGGTATTAAAAGAAAGTTTCAAAAGTTGAAATCATTAAAAACTTATTCAAATTTCTGAAGCATTTTCATTATCAACACTTGCCACAAACACTACAATGATAATTTTGTAATTAAATTCTTATTCCAACAAATACTTTTAGGATAAAAATAGGGAAAATACGACTTAAGTGTTATAAAAATGGCACAGCAACAAGGATTGCTGTCTCGGGTAGTAAATTATAAAATAATCCATTGTTTACTGTTTTAAGTGTTTTGAAAAGAAGTCTTACACAAGATTCCAAAATTAACTTGCATGAGCTGATTCATCTGTCAAATTCAGCTCAACTAACATGTTTAAAACATTGGCATCGAATAAATGAACTACTGTGTATATTTACTGGACAGTTTGAAAATTATATACATGAAAATTTCCAAGTTAAATAGTGAGTCTATAGGACAAAGTATTCATGTTTGCCATCTTCGAACTATAAAAGGGTAGTATGTACAGTATATAATGCAATTTTATGTATATAAATATAATATTGTATTTTGCATGTGCATGCATACAAATTTCATTAAAGCCTAAAAATTAAATAATCAATTTGACTATCAACTCTGTAAACTATTATAATTACAAATGATTTACAACTTGGTTGTAAATTGAATTCTTATTTGTTTTAATATAGTAACCAATTTCTTTGAACTACCTGCTAGATATTAAAGTTTTGTATAAATTAGAAATTACTGGATTTGTACAAAAATAAAAATACACACACAATGTTTTCTGGTAAGACTTTAGAGAATATTAACATGACAATGAAAACATTGCTAAATAATTATCCCATTCAGAAGGAAAACAGGATATTCAAATCTTTAAATCAATGATTAAAGATTAAAATGTGTAGAAATTTTTGATAAACAGTACAATGGAACCTCGTTAAGAGAGGTTCCATAATGAGTAATTCACATAATGAGTGAAGAGAAGAGGGGACGTCCCGATTGTGCACGTTACATCAGTCTGTGTTTAACACTCATTCCGCTAGCAACTTAGCATCACTTGTAATCAAACATTTTTCCAAACTTGTGTTCAGTCATATTACATATAAACATCAACAACCATAGCCCATTATATAATAAACACGACAAACAATATGCCAAATTCTTGGCTATGTAAAAGCTATAATTAAATATTAAAAATTAAATAATTTGACTAGAGGTAGATAGTTTTGCTGCCATCTCATTAAATTTAATGACCGATTCCAATTAAATTTCAATTTTTTTGTTTTCTGCAAATCAAATTCACATTCCAGGTTGGTTCATTCTGCACTAGAAGAAATTATGATGATTCATGCTCCTTAACAATGTATATTGTATAATTTTCTTTGAACAAACATTATACATAAAATACTTGAATATTTACAATACGATACTTATACAATATGATAATTATCGTAAATTATGCATTATTGAATTTTACATTAATTTATATGGGAAAAATTGTTTCACTTAATGAGTGTTTTGCATTATGAGTAAGATTCTGGAAGGAATTATGCTCGTTAAGCAAGGTTCCACTGTTTCTATATACAAGAAATTAACATTTTCCTAGACTAAGAAATCCAGTATTAGATTAGACAATGTACAGGGTTATTTTCTTGCTAGGAAACATTCCTTAACTTTATTGCTTTAGGAAGACTGTTTTGCAAGATATAAGTGCATGCAAGTTTTCATAGTAAACTATAAAACTAAGTTATTGAGGAATGTTTGGGTTCTTAGAGAATCACCCTGCATGACAATATATTTGGTTGGTTTTAGATGTTAAAAGCCTAGTTCGTTTCATCTAATGATGTGTTCAAAGTCTATAGTGATTATTGTTTGTGTACAAGTTTATCACATCTAAACAATCAGAACATCTACTCAACTTGCATATGCATAAATTAAAAAAAATTAACGTTATTTGAGTTTCAAAAAACTTAGCATACAAAAATAATCTAAATATAACAAAAATGAAATATAAAGAGACCAATATAGAGTAATAAACTATTAATGAGTATAATTCCTATTAACTCACAATTCAGCATTATTCATTAAAAATCAATTTCCTAAAAATTACTTGAGCATATTTCTAGTGTTTTGTTTTATCTTAATTGACCAATGAAGATAGTGTTTTGTCTTACAGTAACCTGTGATTGTGTGATAGCAATGATCTTCAGCATCTACTAGTTTTTTGGGGGCATTTTACACCAAATTGACTTAATTGTGGTTCTATGATATCCTTATAATACATGTTATCCATCTGACTACAAAAATTTGATGAGAAGAAATTTTTCCATTGATCACATACCCTCAAAAAACTACTGTAGAAAAATCACTGCCTTATACATGTGATCAGATAGAATTTCTTTATTGCATATGATCACATGCATAAGGCAATCTAACATCATTTTTGGTGATCAAACATCACCAGAAATGACAAATTCTTGCAATTTCCTCAAGAGGTAGTCATGACATCATGGATGTTTGTCAGTTATGCATGATGTAATGTTGTGCTTAAGCTGAAAGTCATTACAGCCTTGAATGCTTGTTTCTAAGATAGACTGGAGCACAACAACATTCAACAATAAACATTCCTTCAACAATTTGAACATTTTTGTAGATTTATTCCATGGAAAAAAACAAGAAAAATCGTTTTCTGGTCCTGAGAAACACTGTCCTCCTACCATTTATTTCCAGATGAACTAGTTTCACATTATCCCATGCTATTGCAAAGTTTGAAATGCTCTATGGGAACTAGGGTTTTTCATTTCCTGGTCTTTTGCTTGTACCGGGGTTCCGGGATAAAAGTGAACAGTTTCCCTGGATTCCAGGAAAGAATTAATTATTTTTAAGATATACAAAATATCATGAAATTAAAAAATTAAAAATAATTATCATTTAAAGTAATTTAATATGTTCTGCAACCTGCAAAATCATTAATAATGCTGTGTAAGATACTTATTAAAAATTACCTTTGAATTATGTAGAAATTTTCACAAATAGAAAAAATTTATTAAAGTGTGCTGGAAACTGCATAAAACAACAACAACAAAATGCTTTGAATTGAGTTGAAAATTAAAAAAAAATGAATCTAGATGAAACTTCTAACTTAGAAGATAATTTTGGTTTTTTAAATAAAATATAATATAAAAATTTACAATAATATTTTGTAATAAGATTTTAAAAAGCAAAGATGGTCAATACTCCAATCAGTCAATCTGATTCTTGCTTTAGTAATGAAAAGTCATGTTACCAAGAATGCCCTTTCCGATTTAATTGATGTTAATGGAATCGTCTTTAATGCATTAAAGAGAAGAGAGATGTTTTATGTTTATTTCACCTGTAGCCTGGTAGTTTGTTTGAGATTGTAGTACTTCTTTTTCTCTCTAGTATTCTTGATTTGTCTACTTTAGCTGCTTTAATAGCGGCATCAAGCTTATAGCTCGATAATTTGGCAATTCGTTTGGCTTTAATAATCAGGTTTATGAGGAAAAACTTCATACTTAAAGACTTCGTACTCGTTTGTATCCTTGCCCAATTTGCACAACCTGGCATTACGTAGTTATTGAAGCTACTGGGCATGGTTAAAAATTAAGACAGCATAAGCACAATTATTCCAGATATTACAGGTTCCGACAAGTAAAGAATTTTCAGAGTCCTGCCAGAAATAACCTACGTATGGATTATCGACCATTTGTGACGTGCCATAACGAGGAAAAATTAAAAAAACTAATAAGTAGGTTTAAAATTAATAAATACAAATGTATGCTCACAGTTTGTGTGTTAATTATACTTTCTATTTGCAAAATTTCCTCAACCTTAACACAAATTAAGAAAAAATGTACTTTAAGAAATTTGCATGATTTCCCGGGTTAAAAAAACAACTGGAATCTTTTTTGAGAAACCCTAATGGGAATCCAGTCAAGGACATTAGTTTGTTCTGTAAATAATACTATCTTAAACAAAGTATGACATTGAAATTTTGCATGTACACAGAAGACGTTACAGGACTTTTCAAAATCATCAGATGCAAAGAACAGCAATTATATGCATGAAAAACCAGCAGAAAGTGTGTTGTCTTATGCACACGAACCTGTAAAAAACATATGTGATTGTGTGTTAACCTAATGTGGAAAAGGGTACAGAGACAATACATTGATGAAACACAGCATTATGCCAACAAATCAAACAGTTTAGTGTAAGGACACCACATTGATGTCAGCGTATACATTTTTTAACATGAAAAAGATAAGCAGCATTAAACATTTGTGTTTAACTTCAAGTTAGAATTAATGAAAAAAATGACATTTAATTTATATTTTGTAAACATGAAATCACTTTTTAAAATAATATATAAGATCAAAATGTATGTTGTTAGAAGAACAGTTTAATCTTACAAAAAGAAATTTAACTCATTCATAAGAGATATAAATCTAACTATCAGTAATTGAAGTTTAATGTATTTCATTAGTAGCTGTAATTTATTTCTGTGTTAAGATTGCAATATTAAAATTTATATGTTAATAAATCAGATCTTTACTGCTTTTAGGCATATTCTAATTATGCATCAACTTAAGCATTTTTGGGCTGACAAGTCCATCAGAGGCTCCAACCAGTAAATTCTGTGAAATATGATTTGGGCCTCTGATGGACTTGTCAGCCCAAAAGTACTTAGAATAGAAGCTGATGTGTAATTGAAATACTCCTAAAAAGCTGTACAGATTTGATTAATCTGCAAAGGAATGATTTGTTATTTACATGTTACCATTATTTTAATAACATTTAATTTTTCAAAACATTTACTGAATTTATACATAAATTTTTTTTATTCTATTATAATATGAATTTTAGTTTTAAGCATAAATATATATAGTGATAACTATAAACAAAACTACTTTTAATAACAGGTTGTTTCTATTATTTACTGTTTAAACTGCACAAGCATAATTTTTTTCATGAAATATGGAGAAAAGTAATAAAATAATAGAAGCTAATAGTATTACCTGCCAGTTACCAACAAGTGGCCCTCTTCCTGTTTTGTTAGATTTAATTTTAGTTGGATCTTCGGTTGGCTTATAATCCTGTATAGGAAATTAAAAAGTATTTGTAAAAAAAATATAATTTTGATATCATAAATAATGTTCAAGTTAAATTACAATTAAAATAAAATGACTCACTCTTGTCTCAACGGGATCATTAGCAATATCAATATATACAATTTCCCGCTGTTTCAGTTTTTCAGGAATTAATTCATGGACCTGAAGTTAAAAACAAAAAATTACTTTTATTTTTAATAGCAATATTTACAATTTAATTCATGGAAATAATTCAATCTGAGTTTTAATATGTTCACTGATTAGTACTAAATTCTGTAACACTGCAGACTTGATTAAATAGAATTTTGAATACTGTCAACTTTCAAAAATTGAAAATCAAGATTACTTAACCAGAATGTAAAAGATGTTAAGAAATACTGTTTCATAAATTGTGAACTAACTCTGTATAGCATGTGTATACACAACATGCAGAATACATACATAAAATCATTGTAAACCGAGTTTTATTTTAATTAAAAATTTAAGTAAATATATTATTTGAAAACAACAAAAAAAGTTACATGACTTTTTTTTTTTAACTTTTTCATGAAATTGTTCAGAAGTTCTGGACTGTAAAACTTTTAACAGTGAAAAAAATTTTGCTACCTATTACAGTGCCATTTGTTGTCGGGTATTTCAAGTAGTTTTTAAAAATGGTTAGAAAATTGTCACACAACAGAGTAGACATCAAAATTAGTGACATTCTTTCAATTCACACCTTTTAAACATTTCTCACCCAACATAGTTTTCTTTTTAACTTTTTGTAACAAATGTGCAATAGTAGTTAAAAACCATGTCTGAAGGGTTTTGTTTTTATTGATGACATTTCTCTTGTTTGTAAATGATTGTCTTCTAAAAAATCACAAATTGCCTTTCACTTAGGTCTAGCCAGTTTCACATTTGTTTTTCATACTTGCTCTTCACTATTTACTCAGTTGAACTAAGCTACTCCAGCTTCAAATGATCCAAAAGTTAGAAAACAAAAATGAAATTAAATAGATCATTTGTACACTACATTCAAGGAAGGTCAAGGAAAACTTGGTAAAATTTGAACTATCTGAAAATTTAAATGAACACGTTTAACTGTATTAATAATTGTTAAATCTATCCATTAGGTTATCATTTTGGTGATTGGCTATTCTATCCAATTTTCACTAGATCCAATTTTTTCTAGGATTTGTCAATTGTTGACACAGAAGAAGACAATTCTTACTTCATATAGCCTTTATTTAAATCGAAATGCATTTCAGACTTTGTCCTTTAGTCGATTCTACTATTGTTTATCTGACATTTACCTTACAATAAATTAAGGTAAATGTCAGATAAACAATAGTAGAATCGACTAAAGGACAAAGTCTGAAATGCATTTCGATTTAAATAAAGGCTATATGAAGTAAGAATTGTCTTCTTCTGTGTCAACAATTGACAAATCCTAGAAAAAATTGGATCTAGTGAAAATTGGATAGAATAGCCAATCACCAAAATGATAATGAACTCTACTATATATAAAGCAAACAATAATAAGATTTAACAATGATGAATGAAAATCTTTATCTGGATATAGTGAGTGAAAACAAATCTAATCCATCTAATTGAGTATTAGCAGTATTTAGTAATAGTGGGTAATCGGTAAACAGTTTGGACTGCAAACAAATCAGATAAACACTTTTACAAAAGATTTTTATGTTTGGATGAACATTTCACAGAACAAACAGAGAAAGAAGCGACATAAAATAGTGAATACCAATTGGTCTTATCTTGTCTCCAGGTGACAATTTGAAACTTTTCGGAGATCTGAAGACGTCGACATCGATGCTCAACCGAATACAAATCGGATAATATTCCTCCAAATTTTGAAACTCTCCCCTGTAATACCAGCTTTTTGTTTACCTTTCTGAGAAATAATTTTTTATAGTCTTTGCAAGACTGTTGGAAGAGTACTCATTAAGTTAGACATCAGTTTTTTTATTTATGAAAGGCAAGAGTTTAACTGTCTCATTGGATATTCATTAATGTTTTAATACCAAATTTCATCCAAGCCTTGCATTTAAATAATTTTTTGTGCACTAGTTGATTTCTGTTTTCTGAATTTTTGTAAGTGCTTATTTGAACTTTTTATTTAAAAAGAAACTAAAAATATTATAGAGCTAAAAAAGAGTAGTGTCAAGAACAGTGCTGCTCACCATAGAAACCAAGCAAGAGATAATAGCCAAGGTAGAGAGTGGGCAGAAGATGTCTGATGTTGCTAGGCAGTATGGCTTGAACAGGTCTACAGTAAACACAATCTTAGCTATGAAAGATAAAGAAATCTCAAGCACCTAAAGGAGTAATGAAAATCAACCCATCATCTGAAATAAAAAGCATTGAAGAGCTCATAATGAAACCTGAAACTGATGCGATGACAGAACTACTTCAAGAAACTCAGCAAGATTTTTTTAAAAAGAAAACACATGAAAGAGGACCAATGCCAACATCTGCTATTAAAGATCTTTTGAAGAAGTGGAGGATGTCAGAACAACGATCATCCAAATGGCATCCAAACCAGAATGAGGTTAATAGGCTTGGGGATCTCTACAATTACTATGCTATTAATTACTTCTGAAAAATCCTGAAGAAAAGAGAGAAGCAATTGACATTAGACAGATTCTTTAACCCTCACAAATGGAAAAAACATGACTAATAAAAATGCAAGACTGTATATATGTATTTTTATTATTACATAAACATAGTAAGAAAGTATATATTTTTTATTTTTTGGAGTTTCCAGAACAAATTAATCAAATTCCCATAAAAAGCTACGGTAAATCAATAATCGGTTAATGAACAATTTGGATAGTGAATAGTCTTGGAACAGACCCACTGTATTTGGCAAATTTTATATGCTAATACATGACTTTTAATTCATTAGCTTTGTCTTCACTCAATACATCCAGATATGTATAACTTGTCATTAAATTCATCCATTGTAGTACTAACAAGAATTTAACATTAAAATTACTACTTCAAAAATAAAATTATGTTTTCTTATATTTTCAAGTTTAATAAACAATAAATATACAGAATATTGTTGGCATGTATTTTAAAACAATATATTTCAATGTGAAAAAGGTAATCTTTATATTTAACAGTTTATATGAACTTAAAATGAATATCATTTCATGCATAACTTTGAAGAAATTCAAAAAATTTAACTTCTGAAGCTATTTTCAAAAATAGTTGTAACAATTCAATCTTTAAAAGTTATAGAAAATAAAATTTGTCATTGAATTCAACAATTTAAAAATTCAAAAATAATCTAGGACCATTTCTACACACATTAGAACAGGGGTCGCCAAAGTGGTCTATATCGACCCCTGGGGTCGATGCGGCTAGGGGGTCGATTAGGCAATGGGTTAGAACCTTTTTTTTTTTTGCTTATACAGATAGAGATCACAACGTTTATTTTTGTTTTTGCTCATACACTTACACTTGTAATAAAACTTTACGGTGGGGGTCAATGTGAGGTTTTGGAAAGTGGTTGGGGGTCAACAGTTAAAAAAGTTTGGCGACCCCTGCATTAGAATAATGTTTAGCACACTAACTTCTAATTTAATTTAAAATAAGACAGATAACTAGAAATTTAATAAAGTAAAATGATAAGTAGTGTTACAATATTGTTTTGTAATGACTTAAAATTAACTATAAGTAATAATATATTCAAACTTTAAATTGTATTTGTATTAAAACGTCGATTTTAACTATGTATAGTGTGAGAAAAAGCCAGCCATGAAGACTGAAATGAATCGAAAATAAGAGACTATGTTCTTGAAATGCCAACTATATTACAATACATTACATATTAACTGAAACAAATTACTAATTTATCTACAAAAATTTCTAATAAACAAATTTACTGTTTTATTTCTATATATAAAACACATTTTTATAACTTACTATGGAAAACACATATCAGAATTAAAAATATAAACACTAGAAATTATAAATTTAACTGTTTACAATACAAAGTGTTTATAACCTTATGAGATTACTTTAAAATATGCCAAAAGTCACAAAAACAAGTGTTTACCTTTTCAAATTTGAATCTGGAGCAGTTATACCAAGGTGTTTATATGATAAAACTTAAATTCATTCATTCTAACACATTTTGTTACATATGGTAATCTCTTGTCTCTGAGACAATGTAAACAGTATTATGTCAATTATGATATCCCAAATAAATTTTAATTTTCAAAGGTGGGAAAAAAACTAAAATATCTGTGCTAAATCAAAAATTATTTGTTTAATAATATAAAATTTGAACATAAAAATTTTTAAAGAATTACTAAAATATTTTCAAAAATTTGCTATGAAAAATCAGAAATCATTTATGAAATAAATGAAAACATTTCAAGAATAGAATTGCTTGATTACATAATTTTATTTTTAAGTTATTTGAAAATGATGTAATAATCATATTTAGTAAAATAATTCAGATAATATTCATTGTATAAACAAGATTTACTTAAATTTTACACATCTATTTGATAAAAATAAATAAATTTATTAAATATAAATGAAAGCAACTTGCAAACATAACTTACATTTTCTTGATCACCACAATCCCCACAATGCATTGTTTCAATACAAATTTCAAAATTCCCTTTCATGTAATCTGGATTCTGTAATTTTAGAAGAATATTTATTACAAAATTTTTAAAAATTTACAGAAAATTAGAGAATTAAAAAAAATTGACTTACTGTTATCACTGGGAAGAACATTTGCATTAAGAAAAGAAAAAAGAAACTTATTAAAAATCTATGAATTTAAGATCAAACTAAACATCAATAGTGTATACACAAAGGATATTATCAGGTAAAAAAATTGTGTTTAACAAAATGACCACTATATATATATATATATATATATACACACACAAAATTATATTATATTATATATATATAAATTTGAAAATTAATACAAAGTGTTTATGGCTTGAAAACCAAATGAGGACTTTTGCTTGTAATATTTTGTTGGATCAGTATGACATTGCATGTTTAACATAAAATTGGTTACATGGTTTGATTTCCTCTAATGAGTATTTCTCACCTTACAGATACAGGTGATCAATTAGAAGGTAGTGTTTTAATTGCAATGCCAAGTTGCTTACCTGTTACTAAAGTTGAATTTGAAACAATTATAAAGAACAGTTGTGGATTAGAATTATACTACCTGGTAAAGCAATATTAATTGGTAATCACTATTTCCCTCCTGATACTTCCTATAAAAGTTTGAAATCAATATCTTGAAGATTTAAATATCTTCTTAGAAGATATAGATGAAATAGTCATTCTAGTGGATGATTTTAATCTCTACACTCTTGATAATTGCAAAAAAATTGCAATTAAAATTTTTAGTGGAAGATTTAAAACCATCCAAATTATATCAGATCTTCAAGCAATATAGTAAAAATTACACTACATGAAGATCTGATAGTATAATTTTTGCAAAAATTTAGAGATTTAATTCTTGTAAAAAGTAAAAAAAATCTCAAACTTGAAGCTTTACTGTAAGATTGTACTATCTGTTTGGATCTAATTTGCTCACATAAACTTTGTTGAGACGTATGAATCCCTTGGTCCCAATGGATATATATCATTCAGCACCTATAGCAAAATTGTTGGTTCAAGTAGATAATAGCCTGACAAGCTCACCAAATTTTCCTATTTATAATTATAAGAAAGCAAATTATTCTAAACTTTATTCTTGACCTTCAACAGAACAGTGGGAAGTGGGGTAAATAAAAATTTAATTTTTTACAGCTTACTATATACAGGAATATGGCATTATCAGAGTTGAAAACAGACCTGGGAGTATATTATATAGATTTTCTTTCATAATACATGTAAAAAAAGTTAATCACAACTGCTGTTATAATTTAGAGAATGAATTTTAGAGTTTTGAGAAGCGGTCTAGAAATAAGTATACTAAAAAAAACTGTATTCAGCTTTTGTCTGCTCAGATTTTATTTGCAGCAGTGATATGGAATACACAATTGATGATAGTGAACACAGCAGATACAGTTAATAACCATATTAAAAAATATTGTGGAAGGAAATTTTAGATCAAGATACAGATATCAAGAAGGCTGTAATACATTTCCCACCTTTAATGACATTACAATATTCAATGTACAGGTAGCCCCCGTATAACACGGCACTTCTACAGCACGGATTCACTCTAACACGGTTCGAGAATTGGTACCATCCCCCGTATAACACGGCACTTCTATAGCACGGATTCACTCTAACACGGTTCGAGAATTGGTACCATCCCCCGTATAACACGGTACTTTTATAGCACGGATTTACTCTGACACAGTTCAAGAATTGGGTAAAACACTTATACAACAGGAAATGTAATAAATTTTTACATACTTAAGTAATAATAGTTCACGAAAATTATTATTTTCGTGAACTATTAGTACTTAAGTATGTAAATTTTCTCTTCTTGCCTTCTGTCAATACACGTGGTCCTTCTCGAAACTTGTTTCAATGTTG